TGTTTAAAGCATTTTAGACCACCCAAAGGCAAGGACTCTGGGTACTGGGTACCCCACAAATTCCATTCTTTCCAAGGAAAAAGCGGTTCAATCCAAGCTCCAGGGTGAAATGGACTTAATACTAGAATGGAGTTGTTTGGACATAAATACTCATACATTCCGATTCTGGTTCTTATTTTATTCTAGCCTAAAGTAAGACATAGTTTTCAAGGAGACCAAAGTTAAACCCAACTTAAGTCAACCTCAGAAACTCATGGCTTCAGTTCCTACTTAGACCCCTAGACTAATCAAAAAGCAGGCACCTCGAGGGAGAGTTCATCTCCAGTCCTGTGCCAGCTCGTTCATCTCGGCCTGTGTCGTGCCGGAAAAAGGTGCCCGGGCATATGTACAGAAACCAAAGAAACCCCCCCCTCACTCTTTTTAAAGGGGACTGGTGTTTAGCGCACAATTTGTCTTCCAAGTACCAAGGAACTCAGGGAGTGAGACCCATTTTGAGCGCGACCTTTTGCTCCAAGATCCGGCCCTTTTTCTCCAAGCCCAAGGCTTGATACCGCCTCGCACCAGTGAGCTATGAAAAAAAGTTGGTTGATGAACCACCTACACGATTTTGTCCATCCATAGGGAACTGGACAACTTCCAGCCAACCCCTCTTGGGTCATCCCTCCAAAGCCCGATCCGGCAAGACTTTCTGCGGGGAAATACCTGGAAACGCCATGGTTTGGCTTTCCTTACAAACGCGGAAGACGGGCACCAACTCAGAAAACCCACAGAAGACCCACAAACAGGAAAGCATCAGGGCCTATCATTTTCCAGCCCTCAAAATGGTTGGCTTCCTTCTTGTTTCCCTTTAAAGCCAACCAAAAGGTTGGGTTCCCCCGCAAAAAAAAAGACACACCCAGCGAAAACAACACCTCTCACCTATCCCTTCATCGGGCACTCTCAGGCTACGGCGTCCCAGAGCACCTTGCCACTGCGCCAACCTGAAACCAGTTTTTCGGCCGCATGAAGGAGGCAAAATCCGTCTCGGGAGGGGCAGGCGTTCTATCCGAACAATCAGGTGTGTGTATGTGTGTGTGTGTGTGTGCGTTTTGTGTAGGCGGCCCCCCCCACCGAAAATTGCTTTTTTTCCTTGTGGTTTCAACAAAACCACAGAAAGCGCGCGCACACACACCCATGTATCTTCCCAGGTTACTCTCCTGATTAGCATGGGTTGCAACGGATGCGGCCTTCCGAGAACCCCGCAGGTGTCCAAAAGGCAACAGGTATGGATTTTTGGGGGCTCTTGAACCACGGTTGCCACTGGGTTAAGATAGGCACCGCAACCGGTATTCAGGGTATAGGCACTGCCAGATTTGGTGAAGGGTATAGGCACCCCTCCGCATTTTCCGACCGAGCCCGGCACCCAGGTCGAGGTCATACACTTCCACCGCCATATCAGTCTCAAATCTGCGCCTCGTGCCGGCAGTGGGAGGGCTTTCTGGCTGTTGGATACCTCCATGTTTGCTCGCTTGCCCGGTGGTCTTTCTCTGCTCGTTTGCTTGTCCCCTAAACCCAGCCGGCTTTCCTTTTGGTTTCCCTTTTGCCAAAACAACTCAGAAGAAACCAAGAAAAGGTCCATTTGCAGCAGGGCTCCTTTGCTTTGCACCTAACATCAAGGAAACTCATGTGGCGCTGCTCGAAAGGTAGAATCATTCAATCACTACAAAAGGGAAGTATGTGGACCCCATGCATGTTTGGGTTGCACCAAAGAAGAGGCGCGGATGAGGCAAAAAATGAAGACAAAACAAGAAGAAGAAGAAGAAGAAGAAGAAGAAGAAGAAGAAGAAGAAGAAAAACAAAAAGAATAATAATAAAAAAAGAAGAAGAAGAAGAAGAAGAACAATACATCTATTAATAAAAAAAACAAGGGAAGAAGGACGACCAGCCAGGCGCCCGAGGAGTGACGTGGGAAGAGGCACAGCGCAGATGCCCACGTCTCTGAGCCAGGCGCCACACGAAGTGAGCAGGTACGCTGTTCAGAATCCTCGCCTCGGCTGAAGAACGCCATAGGCCTTAAGCGCTTGCTTCAAGGCTGGAAAGGGGGAACACGTGGCCACTTAAAGCCGGCCAAAACGCCGAAACAGAAACAAAGGTGCCAGCAGCTATCAGAGCTTGGCAGGGGTTGTCCTTTGGCAACCCTGGCTTGGCTGTGATTTCTGTACTGGGGACTCTTTTGTGGACATCATTTATGTGGGGGTTCATGTCCACGAGCCACTTTGGAAGTGGTTACCACTCTTAAAGATCACTGCCACTTCGAACACAATTGGAAACCCAAGCTCAGAGCCGATCATTTCAGACGAACCTCGCCTCCGAACCTCCATTTACCCTTGTCCTGATTTATCACACTGCTTCGCCCATCCACATCTTCCCTCAAAAAGTCGGAGCCAATCCAAGACCAGAAAGCTCTCCGCTCGCGTGCCGGCTTCAATTTGAGCATCTTGGGGCAAAGTGAAAACCTCATGATTTAGGCTCAGTTGCCCAAAGAACACAGAAATAACAGGCTAACCTTTTGAAGCCACTCACATTGGACCATGGCAAAGCAAGAAGGGCAAAAGGTGGACAACTGAGTAGGGTCGGGGGTCTTGGCCCTCAGGAGTCCGGGTCTTGGGCTCCCAGACTCGGAAGTATCTGGGCATTAGTTGGAATCAGGGGTCGCTCCCCAAATAGGGGCAAAATAACCCTTGAATGGTGGGTTTCCTTTTGTTTCCCTTTAACATGTACCCTCAAGAAACACAGACACGCATACACAGAAATATGTGGGGGTTCTGAGTTCTGTTTGTCCGGCTTCCGACCTTTGAGGCTGCAGCTCTGGCACCCAGGATTTGGACCTTGTACCCCACCACCGTGACCTCGGTCCGGCAAAAACTTCCACGAGTTCGTCCCGCGCCATGGAGGCGAAATCAGCTTGCAACCAGGGCCATGACAGGACGCCAGGTGTTTGGTTCAAGAAAGGGCCGGCCTCCCCCAAAAATAGGGGAAAGTTCAAGCCAGCAACCACTGCAAGCTGAACAAAAACCAGCAAGTTGCTGGTAAACACAAGCCCTCTCACCCGGGAAAAGGGCATCCCACACCTGAGCGGGTCCCTAAGCAATACGTCACATTTGCAGCTTCGATGGAAAACACAATGGGGTCCTCGAAGAATACTTTCGAAGCCACATGCTTTACAAGGTGATCCTTTAAACCATCTGGTAAAAGTTTCTGAGTGAACTGGCCAGAATGTGTCCTTCAAGTGACTTGGTGGACATATGTTTTTCCTAACCCGATCTGACGGGCCGAGGTTGACGCTCTGACTCCGTGCCACCAACAGCTTGTCACAGTCTCAGGTGGCACACTTTTTTCTGCTCTACAAGCAGTTCATTTAGGGCGCATCCAGTACGTCTCTCCTCGGCCAGACTAAGACTTGGTCGAAAACAAACAATTTGGACAAACAAATACAAGGAGGCCAGTTAATTCGTCTGGCAATGTCTCAGAGAGACACAGCGGTGGGGCAATCAGTACGACTTCAGGACTGGGTGAAAGATGTGAACGACGTTTCCTTCGACACAGCGGTGCCGAAAAACGAGGTTTGCCGCTGAATGACCCGGATGGCTTTTCCTTCAATCCAAATCCCAGTGTCCAACAACTCCTTACAGCCCTGGTGGAGCGACTCCTGCACCAAGTGGGTCCCCCCCAAAAAAAACCAACAACAACTGGGCTGTCCTCCAACACGCTAGAAGTTTTACTTTTAGTGGTTTAGTGGAAACTACCACTCAAAACATCAAAAAAACTAAACACCAGAGGGGATTGCTGGGAACCGCTAAGAAACATGATCCATCCGTCCCCATTGCAGGATTCTGTCAATTTGCCATCACCAGCCAAAGCCTTTGGCAGGTTTTCTTGGGGCCCCAGCGCTCGCATGCTGCTTCCCATAGATGACGCCGCGCTCCCTGGACATTGGCGTCGCATCGTCTGTTCCGTGACCCCGTCGGGTGGACACAACATGGGAGCCAGTTCTTTTTGGGGGCTGATTCCAGTGATACACAAGGGGATTTTGAGGGTGGATCCCATGGAACTACTGGGGCCTCCCTGTCTTAAACAAAACACAAGAAGCAGGATCATAGGCCGAATCTCGCAGACTGCAGGCTCAACTCTGCGCTTGCAAGCAGGTGGCCAAGTCTTGAGTGACGCCACGTAGACGCTGACCAGCCTCAGCGGGGCAGGATTCACCATTGATAGGATTTGTTTTATAAACCATCGGCGTACCCAAATGGAAGCAGGCTGTTGGAACCGTGACCCCACAGCTCGTGTGGAGCCCATTGGCACTTGGCAATCTCTTTAAACAACTTGGATTCAGCACAAAAGGAGGCATACGAGCCTACCCCTGACAGCCCCTCATGGACAACTTCTCTGCTGTATGCTCGAAAGATCAGTTTGTGTGTCCCAGTGCATTTCTCACGGATGTCAGCAATACAAGGTATATATAATATATAAAGCCAGCTTGCTCTGTCGCTTGATCAGAAGCTGCTTGGGGCAACTTCGGCCCCCTCGTCATTCCAACGTTGGCCGCGCATATCAAGCTTTTGTCAATGATAGCTTGCTCTCCCGGACACGTCTTTCCAGCCTCAATGCACGGCTGTCATGCCATAACCACTTGAGTCTTCTCAGACCGGCCCCAGAATTTGAAGGTGACTTGTGGTATCCAGATTGGAGGATCGATATGGAAACAAGTGGTTGACTTAAAGGAGATCGCTTTTGCCCATGGGTTTCTTGGATTCCATGTTTATTCAGAGCAACCAGGCCTTCGAATAACCTGCCGCGGTTGGCTCATCCAATCCAACGCCACAGGATGTCCAGCAGGCAAGCAAGCAAGCAAGCAAGCAAGCAAGCAAGCAAGCAAGCAAGCAAGCAAGCAAGCAAGCAAGCAAGCAGGCAAGCAAGCAAGCAAGCAAGCAAGCAAGCAAGCAAGCAAGAGAGCTTGACTATCTCTTGACAAATAGACAAACACATCGATCCATTTTGGACCACCATCAAGCCGTAAATTGTGGAACGTGGGTTTTGTTCCTTTGATGTCCCTTCAAGACAACCACAAGAAAGGGCACCCTGCAAGCAATATACATTTGAGTAAGTGAACTGGGCCTCAATTGCTTTGGTTTTCCTTGCAAACCACAGAACCCTGAGCAAATGTACATACCGTTTCACAGCACTCATGCACGCACCCATGCACACATGCACACATGCACACATGCACACATGCACACATACATGCACACATGCACACATGCACAGAAACACAGAAACACACACAGAAACACAGAAACACAGAAACACAGAAACACAGAAACACAGAAACACAGAAACACAGAAACACAGAAACACAGAAACACAGAAACACAGAAACACAGAAACACAGAAACACAGAAACACAGAAACACAGAAACACAGAAACACAGAAACACAGAAACACAGAAACACAGACACGCCGGCACCGGCACCGGCACCGCGCACCGCGCACCGCGCACCGCGCACCGCGCACCGCGCATCGCGCACTGCGCACCGCGCACCGCGCACCGCGCACCGCGCACCGCGCAGCGCCGCAACGCGCAGCGCGCGCGCGCGCCCCGCACCGCACCGCACGAACGCACGCACGCCCGCACGCACGCACGCACCGCACCGCCCGCACCGCACGCACGCACGCACGCACGACGCACGCACGCCCACGCACGCACGCACGCACCCCACGCCCCGCACGCACGCGACGCACGCCCCCGCACGCAAGCACGCCCGCACGCACGCACGCACGCCCACACCACGCCGCACGCCGCCACGCCACCCACGCACCCACGCACCCACGCCCACACCCACGGCACCCACGCGCCCACGCACCCACGCACCCACGCACCCAGCACCCACGCACCCACGCACCCACGCACCCACGCACCCACGCACCCACGCACACACGCACACACGCACACACGCACACACGCACACACACACACACACACACACACACACACACACACACACACACACACACACACACACACACGCATGGCACGCTCGCACGGACGGCCCGGGCACGGCCACGGCACGGAGGCACGGCACGGCACGGCACGGCACTGGCCACGGCACGGCACCGGCACGCACGGCACTGGCCGGCACGGACACGGCACGGCACGGCACGGCACGGCACGGCACGGCACGCGCACGCGACGGACGGCACGGCACGGCACGGCCCACGCCACGCACGGCACGGCCCACGGCACGGCCCAGCCACGGCAAGGCAAAGGGCAAGGCAAGGCAAGGCCCAGGCACGGCACGCCACGCCGCCGCCGCCCGCCCGCCCCCCGCCCCGCCAGCCCGCCCGCCCGGCCCGCCGCCCACACCCACACACGCACGCACGCACGCACGCACGCACGCACGCACGCACGCACGCACGCACGCACGCACGCACGCACGCACGCACGCACGCACGCACGCACCCCCACACACACACACACGCTTTCAACATGGTGTCCTTTCCCTTCGGCGTCCCTTCAAAAACAATCCAAAAAAGGCGCGTTTTCCACCACAACCCAGCCATGGGAGATCTTTTTCCGCCCGCTGGGTGGTCTCCCTTTGGCTTCCCGCTTTCTTCAAAGACGCCTCCGGGGGTCTGGCTCTCCCTCCCACAGCGGCCGCCGCAGGTGCTCAATCTGCACGTCCAGCCGCTTCCTCGGACACGAAGAGCACTGGAATGGAGACAAGATGGGCGTGTCGTGTCCTATACATGGCCCTTCTGGATGGTGTCTCATAGGACACCCCCCCAACAAAAAACATAGGGGAAACCAAAAGGCTTCCAACCAAAAGGCAAACCGAAAGGAAGCCAACTAATTTCAATGCCATCTCCATTGACTTCCTCCGTCGCTGCATCAAAACTTGCCGCAAGGTCGCGAGGGTCCAAGGTCCGCAGCATTTTTGCTAGCTGCACACCATGTGAATCGGCCCATATCAGTGAAGTGTTTGAGTGAACTGGTCATTTTGGTCACGTTTACTTTTTGTAGACCTTTTTAATAGGGAAAGCAACCCCTGTTTTTCAAGCAATCAAGTGCGACTGGGTCCGCCCCTTGTTGTTCAAGGGGATGGGGCCAAGGACAAAAAACTCACAAAAGGCCCTGAAAAAAGAACCGCTGAGCGTCTGTGGATTCGGAATCCCCAACCCGAATTGAGAAGATGTCACACCTGCCAAAATGTTTCTGTTTCTTGTATTCCCCCACATCCGGAAACATGCATCTGTGAAGATCTCGGCTATAGCCAGCCTCATATCACAAAGATGGGCATGAGACACACGCCCAAGTTGTCACCCATATTCGTAGTTCATGACCCCGTTACTAGTATGCTTAAGCACTTCGATTTGCGCTCGGGCCTAGAAGTTGAACTGATTGAAATGGCACCGAAAAGCAGACCGGTGCCGCAATACAGCCTGATCAATAAAAAGCAAACGGCATCTGGTCCCAGTGATTGACGTTGGCAACAGCTCTATGCGGCAACGCGGAAGAGCTCCTTTCCATACACTTACAGTTCACAAGCCGGAAATTGAAGAAATCCTCAAGGTACTTTCAGCCAGACTAAGGCTAAGGCTCTTAGATTTTGCTCAGTTGGTGGAATGGGATCCAGAAGGATAGCCTCAAAATTACCCCCGCGCCCAATGGTATGGAAGCACCCCCAAAAGTAACATCAAGGTCAGATATTCCCTTATTTCCCTACGATCATGACTCTGGTTCTAAGGCCATTCCAATCAAATTCTTCAGACCCTATCAATTTTGGAGACCTCTAATGTTCGACCCATGGACCCAGAACTTGATCGATTCGAAGCAATGGAGCTGAGCTTTGCGGCTGGTTCTTGTCGTTGGGCTGGTAGTGAGGCGTGAGCTGGATGATGAAGCCTCAGACAGGCTGCTGGCTTGCCGCCGTGGAGCTGTTGCAAAGTTGAAAACGGGTAGTTGCCGAAAGTCCGGTCTGGTGTCAGACTCTACAGGACTCAAAACTGGGTCATTTGACCCTTTGCATTCTGCAAGTCAGGGCAAAGACAAGCTTTCACTTGTGCAGGGGTGCATTTGCACCGCTTCGACTGTTTACTGCCATAGCGAGTTGCTCCCACATTCGCAGGAGCCACGAGGGGTGACACGAAAAACAAGCCCCGAGAAGGAACCCTCAGCAACAAAGACACTTTCGCCCTTGGCTTGCCGCAGACACAGACACGCAGAAACACAGACAAACAGACACACAGGCGCACACACACACACACAAACACACACACACACACAGACAGACACCCCGACAGACACCCAGACAGAAATGCACGCCCACACACACACACAAACACTCAACATGAGCTTGTTCGACCACTCCAGGCATGCGGTCTCTGTTTGTTCCTGTTTCGTCACAATTTGAGACAGATCCATCAACCAGAACATCAACCCCCCAGGTCGAACAGGCGCCAAAGGGGCCGGGTCAGTTCGACGGCTAGCAAGTCGTTCATAGTCCCTCTCTAATAGATCTCGCTTGGCCTTTGCATCTTGCCAAAGGCCCAAGCTGAAGAAATCACAACATCATAATCAATTGTACATCTATGTTCGTCTCCGAAATTAAGGGACACCCTAAAGGATGCTGATGCTCACTTGGTGTACCTGTCAAGCCAATCGCATTGGGGCACCCCGAACAAGACACACCCACATGGGCTCTGGAGATTCTTGCAAGAGGGAAACCAAGCCGCAGGATGCCTTATGCTTGGTGTTGGTTTGTCTCTTGAGTTGCAACACACATAAAGACCCAAGACCACCCATTTCTCCCTGGGTCCCTGTCTTGGCCGAGCCCAACCTGTGTTGGGGCCCACCAGCCAAAAGGGGCAGCAAAAGGCCCTTCAAAGTGTCCGAGCTTCCTTGTGTTTCCCTCAAGGCCACTCCAATCATGGCAGCGTCAAAACAGCACAACGCACGCGTCCGATAGAAAACACAACGCCCCCCCATTTCTGCCCAGTAAGTTGCGGGCTGCTATTCGTAGCGTCGTCCACCAGCGCGCCAGTCCACCTCACCGGGCTTGTTTGGCTGCTCAATGGGCGGGTGTCAGCCGAATGGAAACCGCACACATACCCAAATGGGAGTTTCTCAAAATGGTGAACCCTCCTTGGAACCGGCCCTTGAGGGGACCACTCCCCTGTGTCTTCCCTGGCACTGGCCAGAAGTCTTCATCTTGCTGTATAGGAGGGAATCCGGGACTGAGCCCGAGCTGAAGCATCACGTGTTCGCTCACAGTTCGCCAGCAGTCTCAACAGCTAAGAATCATTAGCCCAAACCGGCCGAAAAGTAGAGAAGCAGGCGCGACTTCAGGATTCTGGTGACAACCTATGCCTCACACGGCTGCAAGGCAGCCAGCTTTGTCCAAAAACATGGCAAAGAGGTTCTGACCCTTTCTTTCAATGCAGTACCAGGGGTGCCTTGCAACCCTTTCTGCAACCTTCCTTCAGCTGGACGTGCAACGCATCGACCTTGCGCAGAACCAAGTCGATCTCTTGTTGATGGGACTAAACGACCCCAAAGTGCTTCCCAGGCGCAGTCGCAGGGTGTGACACAGAAACCTGGGAGAGTTCTGGTATCCCACAAGCTACCTCTGCACTAAGGAAAAGCCCTCCCTTAAGACAGCAGCCTTCTAAGGGGCTCGCCAAAATTATGTTTATCGCATCCATTGATTCAGAGTTGCAATGGCCTCCCGTTGCGAGTGCACAAATTCAGTCAAGGGCCAGTGCCCTTGCCGCATGTGTATTGGAATAGATGAACCACTCTGAGTAATGCTGTGGATGGACAAACTCCTGCACCACTTAAGAACGCCTGGAATCATTAATCCCCTGTAAATACCAGAAAACCATGGCTGAAGTGCTTGCAGGAGTCCACAGTAGAACACGGAGCGCAGCCCTGCCTGCAATGGCTGGTGGAAAAGTACTCCACGCCTTCGGCAAAAACTGAGAGTGCCCTTGAAGTCCCTCCAGCTCTGAAAGTGCGCGTGGCACCTAAATTGCAAATGCATGAATACATACATCACTTACTAAATTCCTTCAGACATACCAATCATACACATAATATGTGTCTATATATATATATATGTATTACAAATAGACGAAGCAACATGTCCTTGCGACCTGTATTTGGTCACTTGTTGAGCTCCAGCAGTGATTCTCGCTGGTTTCGGATTTTTGAGTGCAACATTTGGAAATGAGCGGATTCTTTGATTTGGCCGGTTGTGAGCGGAAACCGACAAGCCATAAGCGGAAAACAGCGGAACACTCAGAACCGTGCTCCCATTGAGTGCTGGGATCACTGGGATCCATTGGGGAACTGGAAGAGTCCGCGCAAAAGGACCTGGTCAAAAGGTCAGCTTTGGTAAAAGTGATGGAATCTCCATATTTCACAGGGTTTGTTCGAAATCTGAAACAAGGGACTTTTGCAAGTAAAAAACCATTCCCTGGTGACATGGAAGAACCTTGGACCTCAGTAACATAGGGGCTGCTGATTGGTGTCCTTTTGGCTTCTCTTTGAGAGAACCGATCGGCTGTGAGTCTGCGCCATGCAAGCCACATTTGAAGGTTGTCCAACGGATCGAAAGAAACCCAACCGGCTTCGGGCGCGCTAATGTTTTTGGGGACCCTCCGGAAAATGCCTCTGGCTTTTCCTTTTGGATTCCATCTGTCAGCTTCTCTCCAACTGGTGGTTTGGAGCCCGGTGGCTGGTGAATCCAAACCAGCAAAGTGCGTACCAACAAAAGGAACACACACACTTGAACTCCAGATGGAGAGTGCTAATCTTTCGAGTACAACTGATGAGTCTCGAGTACAACCGATAAGTCTCGAGTATGATGAGTTTCGGCTCGCAATGTATTCGGCTTCCTTCTAGTGTCGAAAACGTTACCAGAAAGAACAAGAAGCACAAACAGCGCCGCAACCAAGGGGCCAAAAGGACTTTCAGAATCACTGAAGCAGGTACAGGTGTCCACGTCTGGACACCCTTCCCACCTTTGGCAACAGCTTCATTGCGTGCAGTATGCCAAAGGTGCTGCACGCCCCTGCTGCGAAACCGAAAGGGCGGTGACAGGGCATTCTGTCACTCCGCACACACACGCCCCTCTACGAGGGGCGAGGTTTCTCTTTTCTCCTGCAGGAAGATCACATGCTCAAACTCAAATCACTATCGTTGACCAAAATATCCACCACGGCGAGGGGAGCGAGACACTGCCCTAAACCGCTCAGAAGACGGGAACGAAAGATCACAACGTTGAGCATTGCGAGTGTCGCCATAGAGGACTGAAGCGATCTGCGAAGCAGCCGGGCGATCACCATGAGAAAACGGAGTGGCATAGGTGAAGGTCTCCTCAACTTGAACGGCATCGGAGTTCCGACCTTGACCAAGAGTCTGATCATGTGAATAGTGAGTTGCGAAGGACTCAATCCGAGACAGAATGCGCTGGTACCCTTGGTGTTGCCAGTCACGGATGTCCCATGCCTGGACTGGCGCTTCGGGATCCGTCACCCGCTGCCATTCACGAAAAGAGTTTTCAGGTAGATCAGGTACGGCGTCACCACGGTGCCATCGTTGAGGTTGTCCCGGAGTGTAAATCCGCACCCACTCCTGATCATGCCAGACCGAATATTCGAGCCATGGATGCTGCTTGGAATCATCGATGTCCATGTCGAGGCAAGAGGCAAGGATGGTCGCGGGCTCCGATCCAGCTAGTAGGTGAACAAGCACCATGCACAACCATGTTCAAACAACAGCAAAGCAAGATCATGCAAGTGTAGAGGCCACCCTTATTTTGTACGCTGCGCTGCTCATGCAAGGCTAGTCTTCAGTGAGCTCGAAGACGGGCCTCATCTTGTCTTGGCCGCTGCCGGACGGATTCACGGGCGTGTAGGGGTCGGAGACCCCAATCGTCTCCGATGGTGTGTTGCCACGCGATGCACGTACTGGTTGATGAGGATGGGAGGTCAGACGTGCGCGGGCCGTCAGTTGTTGAGAAATCCCCTCCTGGAGACGAATCAGTTCTTCAGTGGAGAAATCAGCCGCATCCGAGGACCTGAGAATCGCGTCTAACAGCTCCGGCGACATACTCAATGCCGCGGACTGCGTGGCCACGTTATGGTGATCGGAGGGATACATGGAATCAAATTCATGACCAGCGTGAGGAGCAGCGATTCTCCGATAGCCCTCCGTCCGTGGCCCAGTCTCGCTTGTACCACGTAGTGACTTGGACTTGCCCTTCGACTGAGTCCTGGTTGGGAGCATAGAACTCCCGCCATTCTCTGAAAGTATGCGGAGGAGGTGGAGCATCATGTTCTTCTTGAGGCGTCCATGGTCCCGGATGAAAGATCTTGACCCACTGGGCATCAGGTTGTTGAGGGTCCGGGCACCATTCCAGCCACGGCATGACAACGCAACCACGGAAAGTCAAGTTGATAGGTGTACGGCTGCAGACAACCACGAGTGAAAGCAAATCAACTATCAAAACGCAAAAGACCACTTTTGTAGCACTGTGCGGCGCCAACATCACAGTCAGACTCTCCAGGGAGGCGAGGACGGGCATCAGCTAGCATGTGAATTAGATGATGCCGAAGAGGAGGTCATTCCAGCATACATGAGGTCCGGTGCACCCGAAGCGAAAACTGGCCTCGCTATGCTGGGATGTGGACGACCCAGGCGTTGGTACCCCCTGGTGACCCAGTCCCTGTAATACCAAGTGTAGAAAGTGGCGTGGGATACCGGTTGCAGAGCCGTGCCTATAGTTGTGCCGCCAGTGCTTTCCCTGGGCCAGTACACTTCGAAGTGGTAGACCTTGCGCCATTCCCGATAGGCGGTCGGGTCATCCGGGGCCGGTCCCAGGGTGTCAGGGGCTACTGGATGCCACTGACCCGGCACATAGATTCGAATCCATTCCACCCTCGTTCCTGCTGGTCCATTGACGATGTCATAGTCAAAATAGCGAGGTAGGACCCATCGTGCTGCACCCTGCACCGTACTATTGAACATTTCAACCCGACAAGCTGATCAAAGTTATCACAGAGAGCGGCGGACACATGGAGACAACATGCACAGCACCAAGCAAGACAACCCAATGAGAACTCACATACAAAGCACGCACAACCTCATCTTTATCCAACATGCTACTCAAGTGTCAATCCGAATTATTCCAAGGATCATAGAATGGTGGCGGTGACGGTTCCCGCCACGCTCCATCAGGTACCGACGAGCTCACCGAGGACTCGATGTCTGCGTTGGCGAGCATCGCGAGTCCGATGGATTGGACAGGAGGTCCAAGTCGTTGGTACCCTCGCGTTTGCCAGTCTCGGTACTCCCACACGTGATAGGACACATAGGAACTGGGCGTGGCAATAGAATCCATTGTGGTGCCTCCGGTGCTGTCTTCAGACCAGTACACTTGGAAGTGATATGATCTGCGCCACTCCCGAAATGTGGAAGCGTAAAGTGGGTCCGGAACTGGCGCCTCCTCAGGAACGGGCCTCCAAATGCCCGGAGAGTAAATTCGAATCCATTCCACTCCTCTATCGATCTGGTACTCGAAATACTGGGGGTTCATAGCAGCAATACGGGCTTGCACGACTGCTAAACCAATCGAAAATCTGCGGCAAGGACGCACATGCATTGCCAACCGGACACATCCACTGAGGAGCGAGGCAACTTTTCAAACACAAGGTGAAACGGGTCAACGAGGTCTGAAATGTCTGACACCTGGCTTTCACTGTCTTTGATGTCGCGCACACCTGCAATGATAGTGACCTGGTCGTCTACGTGCACAAGGGGAGAGACATTTCCGTCCATGGCGCAGGATGGCGTGGCAGTAATGTTTGCATGTTGCCGATGGGGATCGCGATGAACGGCCAGCACGTTTGGAATAAAACACTGTAAAGGGCCGTCGAGATCTCCGCGGCGCTGAAGCTGATGCTGTCCGAGATCTTTTGGACGAGCGCCCTGGACTGCGTGGTACTTCATCACGGGAAGGGTCAGTGCTGTAGATCGAGCGGCGTGTGCGCTGCGATTTCAAAGAGGTAGGGCAGGATTGTCCGCGAGGGGCTGAGATCGAGGGGCTGCGTACCGAGGGCATAAACTGTGGGTGTAGAATCATCGGTGGTGGTGGTGGTGGTGGAGGAGGAGGTGGAAGAAGCAGTGGCAAACTTGGCGGGGGCGGAGGCGACGTAGTCAGCCGAATGGGTCTGTCGAGTAGAGCCCCGGGTCCATGAAATTGTAACCACGTCGGCTGCGCTCCATGGGTCCAGGTAATGTACGTCTGTACAACTTGTTCTGACATGATTTGAGCAACTCAGGAAAGACATCACTGCATGTCAACGACATCTCGCAACACGACAAGCAAGATTGAGTCACGTGCAAGCAAGCAAGTATCATGTGATCAACAACTCAAACTGGACACACCGCCGCCGCTTATCATTTGGTCCATCAATGATCGCTGCTGCATTTGCCGGGCTTGTTCCTAGCCGCGAGCCTCAAGTTGTTGATAGACCTTCCATGCCTGCTTAACTTCCTCAATCGGCTTCTGAAGAAACCGCGCAATGGTCTTATAGGTGGGTCTGGAATCCTTATCTTTCTTCCGTCTCACCATTTCATCCAGCTCGCCCTGTGTCCATGCCGTGAAAGGTTCACGGTATGCATTGCGAAGTGCAATGGTAAATTCTTGTAGAAGTTCCCGAGGACCATGAACCACCGTCGGCGACGGCCGGAACGACGAGGCACCTGGATGCGGATGTATCGAGCCATCAGAATCCGAATCAGGTGTCGTGGGCGTCGTCTGTCCTGGTTCTCGTCCACCGTGTGCCGCGAAAGGAGCACGAGGACGAGGCGGTGGCAGTCGATCTAACACCGATTCGGGCCGAGTACCAGAATTGTGTTCACTAGCATCACGATGTGCGGCTCGAGGCGGGGACAAAGC